AGATACAACAGTGTCATGAAGAAATAACTACGTTATTGTGTACCGTGGACAGATACAACAGTGTCATGGAGATATAACTACGTTATTGTGTAGCGTGGATAGATACAACAGTGTCATGGAGATATAACTACGTTATTGTGTAGCGTGGATAGATACAACAGTGTCATGGAGATATAACTACGTTATTGTGTAGCGTGGACAGATACAACAGTGTCATGAAGATATAACTACGTTATTGTGTAGCGTGGATAGATACAACAGTGTCATGAAGATATAACTACGTTATTGTGTACCGTGGACAGATACAACAGTGTCATGGAGATATAACTACGTTATTGTGTAGCGTGGATAGATACAACAGTGTCATGGAGATATAACTACGTTATTGTGTAGCGTGGATAGATACAACAGTGTCATGGAGATATAACTACGTTATTGTGTAGCGTGGATAGATACAACAGTGTCATGGAGATATAACTACGTTATTGTGTAGCGTGGATAGATACAACAGTGTCATGAAGATATAACTACGTTATTGTGTACCGTGGACAGATACAACAGTGTCATGGAGATATAACTACGTTATTGTGTAGCGTGGATAGATACAACAGTGTCATGGAGATATAACTACGTTATTGTGTAGCGTGGATAGATACAACAGTGTCATGGAGATATAACTACGTTATTGTGTAGCGTGGATAAATACAACAGTGTCATGAAGATATAACTACGTTATTGTGTACCGTGGACAGATACAACAGTGTCATGGAGATATAACTACGTTATTGTGTAGCGTGGATAGATACAACAGTGTCATGGAGATATAACTACGTTATTGTGTAGCGTGGATAGATACAACAGTGTCATGGAGATATAACTACGTTATTGTGTAGCGTGGACAGATACAACAGTGTCATGAAGATATAACTACGTTATTGTGTAGCGTGGATAGATACAACAGTGTCATGAAGATAAAACTACGTTATTGTGTAGCGTGGATAGATACAACAGTGTCATGAAGATAAAACTACGGTATTGTGTAGCGTGGATAGATACAACAGTGTCATGAAGATAAAACTACTTTATTGTGTAGCGTGGATAGATACAACAGTGTCATGAAGATAAAACTACGTTAACTCACAAAGAGAACCCTGTGTCCAGAAAGAAGCAGCCCACATTCTTTGGATACGAAAGGGGTGAAAACACGAGTCTGACTGTGACGGGACAGCCTACACCTCTCTCGTCTTAGACTAGTCTGGATCTCGTTATCTCTATGAAGATATAGTCGATTTAAATGATGGACTTTTCTCTACAGGTAAATAGGCCTTTTTTGTTGTTGTAATTATGTGTCTACGTGTCGGATTAAGTACTGAATTATATCCTAATTATATTAGGAGGGCTATATTTTCAAATTCAAGAACTTAGGTGGGAGATTCAATGATAGTGACAAAACTAAGCAGAGATCTCTAAGCTAAAAGTATGTGGATAGGTGGAGGGGTGAAGAACTTGGTATGTGGGGTGTTGGATGATTGCTAATTCTGGTTTTCCTCTTAGTCACAGGATTATAACTTGTCTGGAAGCCACGTCGAAAAGCAAGTCTCGAAACCTTATCCAGTGTACAAAACAGCCAGGAGCCAGGAGGAAGAAGAATGTTTCATCTTGTCGCTTCTATTAATGCACCCTGTTGGTGACTCTGAAGTGACAGTAGTCTACTACACGTGGGAGAGTCATCACCCGTTGGTAGTGTGATGAACAGTGATTTGTGTAGCTATATTTTCTGCCTCTACCAGAGGTTAGTAGAAACTTTAAAATAGAATAATTTTTAACACGGACTTTACCCCCGTAATATACACCGGACAGTGACAATGTATAATGTTTTGGGGTTCTCGTTAGTCATTGCTGCAAGTAATGATTGACAGTAAGCTATATTTTGCTTCGAGGAGGAGTTCAGGTTAGCACACCGGCTTTCCTAGATGTGTGAGGAGACCTTCTTCCACGTGAACCGGACAGAAATGTTGAAACAGCCAGCACCTGCGATTAATCCTATGCCTAAGTGCCAGTTCTCTGGTCCAGTATTCCAAATTTTAGCAGTGATGATTTCGGCTGCTACTAGGGGCACCCAAGCCGCTTATCTGTCATAGCTTGTCTTTGTTGCATCAGTGGTGATTTGGGCTGCTACTAGGGGTACCCCAGCCGCTTATCTGTCATAGCTTGTCTTTGTTGCATCAGTGATGATTTTGGCTGCTACTAGGGGTACCCCAGCCGCTTATCTGTCATAGCTTGTCTTTGTTGCATCAGTGATGATTTTGGCTGCTACTAGGGGTACCCCAGCCGCTTATCTGTCATAGCTTGTCTTTGTTGCATCAGTGATGATTTTGGCTGCTACTAGGGGTACCCCAGCCGCTTATCTGTCATAGCTTGTCTTTGTTGCATCAGTGGTGATTGATCTTGATTGATCTTGCTGAATTTCTTTCTTTTGATTCCTACAAGTTTTGCACCAATTACATAATGTTTTGTGATTGTTACATTCTGTTTTTAGTGTCCATCATTCACAGGTCAAAGTTTTCTGGAGTGTGTGTGGTACTGTGATACTGGATGTTATACTGTGTTATTTTGACTAGCATATAATTAATATCTAGTCTGGGGGCTTAATAGAAGTGAGGAAGTCAGGCCAAGTTGCACCTAGAATGTTTATGTAATCTGTAGTACCATAATTTGAGTCGCCTCACCACTGAATTAGGTTGGATGTACATTGGAGCTGCGGGATTTCGCCTAGACCAATGCGAGAAAACATCTCAACATTAAAAACTACTTCAAAGTGCCATTTGATCCATTAGGGAAAACCCTAACAAAGGCACGTGATACTAGCATTATGTGACATTGATGAAACAAAGGAGGAAAGTTACAAAGGAAGAGAGCCACAGGGAGACAACACAAAAATACTGGAAAGTCTGACATCGTATTATGAGAAGATAACTGTATGAGGATGACTGACAGTGCACGAGACAGAAGGATGTTGGCAGACATGATTATCGCTGTCACATGGCCTGGTCAGTCAGAAAAAGAATTGTCCGATTGGATAACAGTGTCTCATTTTGTGGGGAGGGTGGGGGAGGGTAAGAATAGACATACCGCCCCCATACCCCCTCCTAAAAATTGTATTGCAAATGTCGAGTACTTTAGAAGTGCTCCCGCTGAAGTAGAAGTGCATCAGCTTGAAAGGCGGGGAACTAACAGGCTGCATACAATGTGTAAAACGAACATGCATGCAAAACACAAGCTCTTGGATAGGCCCACAGTCTAACAATGGACAAACAAGCAGAATCTTCTGCCGAAGTTTACAGCCGGTGAACTTCCGGAAGAGGGAGAATGAATCCGAGCAATGCCCAGACTTCGCTCTTATCTTAACCTGTTAAACATGATTTTTTCAATGTTAACTTTGATATGAAGTTAGCGTATGCTAATTGTATGTATGAATATTGCTATGTAAGTAAGTAAAGGATCCATTTCAACCACTTGTGATATAAAGCCCACTGTGTTTGTCCCATAAATGGGTATTTCCCATGATTCTTGATTGGCATCCATGTAAAGCCGGGTCAAGCTGCTTGGTCAGTTTGTAAAACTGGTTGTCGCTTGGAGCAAATGACGCTGGTGCAACAGACAGACAAGAGGCACTCTGTACCTCACTGGTCAGTCGAGAGGCCTCTGTACCTCACTAGTCAATCGAGAGGCCTCTGTACCTCACTGGTAAATCGAAGGGCCTCTGTACCTCACTGGTCAATCGAGGGGCCTCTGTACCTCACTGGTCAATCGAGGGGCCTCTGTACCTCACTGGTCAATCGAGAGGCCTCTGTACCTCACTAGTCAATCGAGAGGCCTCTGTACCTCACTAGTCAATCGAGAGGCCTTTGTACCTCACTGGTAAATCGAGGGGCCTCTGTACCTCACTGGTAAATCGAGGGGCCTCTGTACCTCACTGGTCAATCGAGGGGCCTCTGTACCTCACTGGTCAATCGAGGGGCCTCCGTACCTCACTGGTCAATCGAGAGGCCTCTGTACCTCACTGGTCAATCGATGAGCCTCTGTACCTCACTGGTAAATCGAGGGGCCTCTGTACCTCACTGGTCAATCGAGAGGCCTCTATACCTCACTGGTAAATCGAGGGGCCTCTGTACCTCACTGGTCAATCGAGGGGCCTCTGTACCTCACTGGTCAATCGATGAGCCTCTGTTCCTTACTGGTCAATCGAGGGGCCTCTTACCTCACTGGTCAATCGAGGAGCCTCTGTACCTCACTGGTCTATTGAGCATATCATATTAGGCTCCTATTTTTATCGACCAATCGGTATTTGATGGGTAATGTGGTCAATATCACGCCAGCCGCCTTTACTTCCTAGTTTACTTGCTGCAGTCTGGGTCCACCTCGGAACCAAGGTGAATGTTGAAACACAAACTCAACAATTTGCTGACTGGAACTTTTGGGCCGAAAGGCGAGAGTCTAGCCACTCCACAGGTCGGTTTTATAGATACAGTTCACTTCAGACGTACAGACCAAATGTATTTTGACGTTTCCATAATGTGTTATTAGAAACAACATCTTTCGTTACTATGCTGTGAGAGGTGAGAAGCCAACAGTCCACAGACAAATAAGTAAGATCTGTAAAACGGATGTGCACGTAACACTCAAGAGGTTAAGATGTGAAATAACAAGCAAACCTTTCCACATGAGTTTACAGTCAGTGAACGCGCGCGCGCGCGCACACACACACACACACACACACACACACACACACACACACAAGTTAAAGTAACACAAGCCCGGTACTCGAAGGGTTAAGGAACTGACATTTTCAAGGTAAGACTTTTCTTAAATTGTTTTCTTCAAAGGTGGGTCCGAGAAGCCCTGTTTTTTTTTTTTTTTTTGGGGGGGGGGGGGGGGGACAATCAATAAATATATGGTGTGCCCCTGGTGAATGTGAGGTGACACGGACATGTACTTACCAGACTCTATCTTGTGACACAAAGTTGCACCCAGGGATCGCCTGACCCCCTGACGGCGCTCCCTGCTGAGCATTAGCTGCCATCTGAGCACTCGTGAGCCTTAATACGCGTTTGATGTTTTTGATTTGCTACACAAGTTTGAATGTATTAATTTGTTAAACAAAACCTCCGTAAGATCAAAGTTATCTAGTACAGCATAAAGCTGAGATCTTCTATACTGTCGGGGGTTAGATCAAAGCAATACGCCACAGTAAACACCATTAGACTGTCACGTTCTGTCTATTACAGATAAAAACAACATACCCAGTTTTAAGAAATAACGTGATATGATGATGTAATAGAGTCACATAACAGTGTCTGTAATAGCTATTGGCGGAGGAAGTATGAGACAGCGGAGACAAACGGGATTGCGTTGTGTTCCAGAGAGGCTGAGACAAAGGAGTCGGCGACGATGAACCACCTCCTGAAAAGCAAGCAACTAACCTGCAAAGTGCAAGATATACGCAACTATCCTGTAAAGTGTGACAGATACGCAACAATCCTGTAAAGTGCAAGAGATACGCAACTATCCTTGAAGTGACAGGAATACGCAACTATCATGTAAAGAGTAACGGATACGGAACAATCCTGTAAAGTGTAAGGGATACGCAACAATCCTGTAAAGTGCAAGAGAGACGCAACTGTCCTTAAAGTGTAAGGGATACGCAACTATCCTGTAAAGTGTAAGGGATACGCAACTATCCTGTAATGTGTAAGGGATACGCAACTATCCTGCAAAGTGTAAGTGGTACACAACTATTCTGTAAAGTGTGATGGATAAGCAACTATACAGTAAAGTATGAGGGATACGCAACTATACAGTAAAGTGTGAGGGATACGCAACTATACAGTAAAGTGTGAGGGATACGCAACAACCGATCACATTGAGTACAACTCTAGCACTTTTTATATACAAATATCCAAGTGAAATCAACTCTAAAACCAATTAAAACAAAAAAAGATCAAAATCTGCAACTGTAAAACCGACTTTTACTAATCTGTCAACTAATCTAAACTCTTTGCTTGTTTTCTAAGATCTATTCAATGCCTCTCCGGTTGGACAACCAGTAGAAGTGCATGCACCACGACAGTTAGACAGCACGGTTGAACATTGAACCTTCTCACAGTGCGTCTATTTCTATGGCTAAGTTATAACGTATACAGTTCCATGGCACGTTCAGTCGGACCTCTTTACTAAAGAAACCAAGCAACATTTAAATCGATCCGCAAGTCATTAGTAATTCCCCTGGCATTAACCTCACCCTCTGTTTTCGCACTTCAAAAGCCTTAGTCTAGGATTCTCTTAGTGACGAGAAGTCAATAGCCAGAGAGTGTGTTCTTTGCCTGTGTATCACGGTTATGTTTACCTGCAGGGTTTCAATTACTTAACCCGACAATCAGTAGGTTTGGTCACGAAGTCATTATTCAAACTGAATTAAAAGTAAGCCAGTACGTTGCCCTGTCATGATTTTCTACCAGCTCAGAACCAAATATTTTGTACCTTACCGACCGGGGACAGCCGGGTACTTCAGCGAGGAACTTTCTGTAGCCGTTATGTGAGCGTAAATGTGAAGCGGGGTTAAATCGGGTAAAATAAAAAAGTAAATAAAAGCCCCCTTTCCATGCCGTCAGGTGCATTGGGCATATAGGGCTAAACCTATACTTTAAACATCAGTTGGAAGTCAGTGGGTGATGTGGCCAGCATCACGCCGGTCGCCTTTACTTCTCAGCACTCCAGCTGGTACCTTTTCAAGGATAGGTGTTAAACTGGGTAACTGGGGTTTTCCTTGTTGGCTGGCATAGAGGATGCGACTTAAAGGGGTCGCATGGACGCCCAACTTCTTCTAGACAGCAGTCAGGAATGTAAAACAGGCAGTGTTTTACATAACTCTCAGAGACAGTAGTTTCTTGCGGCACCGTTGAGTGTTTCAGTATAACGTTTCTACCCTGAAGGGAATATCTGCAACCTTTTAACATGTGGTGGTATACGTAATGTTTCTCGTTCAGTCATTAGGTATGAAGATTTTAGGCTTCAGTCCCAAAGCAAATGTTCAAAATACAGATATGAATAATCCAGCTGGAAGACATTTCGGTAAACACAACTAGTTTTCCGAAGGATAAAACTAAAGCCACTGGTTAGGACACTAAACCAGCTGAGAGTAACATTGTACAGACACCTCAGTGACGAATAAGTAATTAGAAAGCTTAAACGAGGCTTAGGACCTTGGCATATACAAGAGATGATGTTTTTTATGTGAAAACAAACCCGTCAAATGGCGAGGTTCTGTGGAGACTGAGAATGAAAACAGAGACATTTGATATATTTCCGACATATTTACATACATGTCTGTTTTATAAAATTCATTTTGGAAAGGAAAAAACTGAGGGCAAGCGACCAAGAGGCACTCGTTGATATAAATGTGAGGACGACATTAAGATACAGACAAAAGGCTAAAAAAACTAGAAAGATTTTTTTCCATTTTTTTTTGGGTTGAGATCTCTTGGAAGTGGAGCTCTTCGCTTGCTGGTGATGATGGGGATACAGGAATTATGGGAGTGTCCCGAGTGCTGGAAAGTCGATCCTTCACTCAACATTCAACGTTCTTGTGAAAGTTTAATTCAAAGAAAAACCAAACACAGTCGAAAGGCGTGTTTTTAACGGCAGCACACTTGCAATCCATTACATATTAATAATAATAATTTTAAAAGGATAAGGGTGAAAAAAAAATTAGGCTTTACACCCAGATCCCTTTCTCTCAAAGAAACAAATAAACAATGATTAAATGCGACAGTTAACAACGAATACATGGATGAAATGTGTCAATTAAAATTAGGAATATGCAAGTAACAATGATTACATGTGAAAATAAATAGTGCATAAATCTTCATATAAACAATGATTAAATTTGCTGATGAAAAATAATTAAATGTGTAAATGAACAATAATTAAATGTGTAAATAAACAATGATTAAATGTGTTGACAAACATTGATTAAATGTTTAAATGACAAATAATTGAATGTGTAAATAAACAATGATTAAATGTGTTGATGAACAATGATTAAATGTGTAAATGAACAATGATTAAATGTGTTGATAAACATTGATTAAATGTATAAATGAAAAATTATTGAATGTGTAAATGAACAATGATTAAATGTTTTGATGAACAATGATTAAATGTGTAAATGAACAATGATTAAATGTGTAAATGAACAATGATTAAATGTGTTGAGGAACAATAATTAAATGTGTTGAGGAACAATAATATTATGCGTGAATAAACGACAATTGTCGAAGATAAATTCCTAACTTTGTAAAGGAACAATGATTAAATTGAAAATCTTCTTCTTTCTTCTTAACGTTCACCGGCTGTGAACTGCAGCGGAAAGTTCTGGTTGTTCGTCCACTTCTGGACTTTTTTCCCCAGAACCCCAGTTTTGCATGGACACACGTTTTCCATGTCTACGCCCATATTAGAAAACACATTACAAAGTCGACCAGCTGCTAGCAGCATTACGTTATATGTGTGGTCTGATTTTTCTTGTGCCACGTGTATTGGCTGAGACTGATGTATTTGTGACAGGTTTGAAGGCTCGGGTATTCCTATCCGGATAAAATGTCTGCTCTAACATATCTGGGTCCCGTTGTGGTAACATATCTGGGTCCCGTTGTGATAACATATCTGGGTCCCGTTGTGGTAACATATCTGGGTCCCGTTGTGATAACATATCTGGGTCCCGTTGTGATAACATATCTGGGTCCCATTGTGATAACATATCTGGGTCCCGTTGTGGTAGCATATCTGGGTCCCGTTGTGATAACATATCTGAGTCCCGTTGTGATAACATATCTGGGTCCCGTTGTGGTAACATATCTGGGTCCCGTTGTGATAACATATCTGGGTCCCGTTGTGGTAACATATCTGGGTCCCGTTGTGATAACATATCTGGGTCCCGTTGTGGTAACATATCTGGGTCCCGTTGTGGTAACATATCTGGGTCCCGTTTGGTAACATATCTGGGTCCCGTTGCGATAACATATATGGGTCCCATTTGATGACATATATGGGTCCCGTTGTGATAACATATCCGGGTCCTATTGTGATAACATATCTGGGTCCCATTGTGATACAATATCTGGGTACCGTTGTGGTAACATATCTGGTTCCCGCTGTGGTAACATATCTTGGTCCCATTGTGAAAACATATCTGGATTCTGTTGTGATAACATATCTGGGTCCCATTGTGATAACATATCTGGGTCCCGTTGTAGTAACATATCTGGGTCCCGTTGTCGTAACATATCTGGGTCCCATTGTGATAACATACCTGGGTCCCGTTGTGGTAACATATCTGGGTCCCGTTGTGATAACATATCTGGGTCCCATTGTGATAACATATTTGGGTCCCACTGTTATCTGGGTCCGGTTGTGGTAACATATCTGGGTCCCATCGTGATAACATATCTGGGTCCCACTGTCATCTGGGTCCCGTTGTGATAACATATCTGGGTCCCATTGTGATAACATATCTGGGTCCCACTGTTATCTGGGTCCAGTTGTGGTAACATATCTGGGTCCCATTGTGGTTCTGCAGTCCTGTCTCGCGGTTTTGTTTTTTCCTCCATTTTATTGATTTTAGCAGGCGTGCTTGTTTTATCTCCAGTCCTTTCGTGTGTCTCCTTAAGGGGCAGTCTAGCTAGAAATCTGAAAACACAGGTACTATTTTGTTTTTAACGAATGACCAACTAAATATCAAAATATCTTCTTGAAATTAGGTGAGCATGTACTTGATACATGGCTGTTCACTTAGGTATTATACATTTTTTTCATACTTGTTCAAATTTGCTAAATTAATATTAAATTGAAAATACTGTAAAAGAAAAAACAAATTGATGTTGCTTTTATACAGATATTTTCTGAAGTAACCTTAAAGAAGTCCTGAATGTTGTCAGTGTCCCCTTATAGGGTTCTGAGTCCGTTCCATCCTGTAATTAATGCACGCTGCTCACAGCAGAAAGCAACCAAAGCTGACACCAGTGG